TAAGTAGACTGTATAGTCACCAATATATTTCTACAAGTTTTCTCTAATAGGCAGTTGCTGCCTATTTCACTGTCTATTCAATATCTTTTAAGTTATTTTTCTGTAGAAAATAAAGGTAAGAGGAGCTTATTAAAGCTTACAAGATGATTCATGGGATTGATGAGACAGAGACCATTGATTTCATTGTGTTACGTTATGAAGATAATTGAATGAGAGGATGCAAGTTTAAGATACAATCCTATTTTTCTAACAAGGTGATTGGCTTACGGAATTAATTGCTGTCAGCGGTAAGGGAGGCTACCATTTTACAAGAGTTTAAAAGGGGGAATAGATTGTTACCTAAGAAATAAAGGGTGGGTTTAAGTTTTTACTTTTCTCAAGGATGGGCGGGTAGAGACAGCCTTGATGAAACAAATGGTCCCTTGTTGTCCATATGTTAGGAAACAGTGTGGGTTTCTGTATGTAAACTGATTTGTGTGAGTTTGTAACTTGTTATTATTGGGTGAATTCTTCTAAGGATGAAATCGGTGCCACTTGGTCTGGGCATGGTTGTAGTTATGTATATACATCAAGATTGCACACAGTTGGATCTACTTTTCTATACAAATATTATCAAAGTTGTATTTTCCCTATGTTGTGAATTCAAGATAATCAGAGTAAAAAGCATTTTATTGTTACCTTATGTTTGTAATTAGTCAGGAGACATTAGTCTAATTGCTCATATTTATAATTAAACATGTTTTCATTCTTTGAGTTTTGCTAACCAAAGCATTGCCTGTCTTACTAAAAGAGACTTGAGGCTTTGTTACCTTTTTATTTTTTTAATGTAGAAACACAGGTAAGTGAACTTCCATTAACTTGTACCTTTAAATGTATTTCAGCTTTTTAAATTACTATTTATGTAATTTGTTCATATTATCAATTCCTTATTTTTTGGATGTTTCTTGATGATAGTGAGAAATTTAAACTCATCAGAAAGTGAAACATAGAGTTGAGTGAATAAAAAAGGGGATTCTACCAATTTTTTTAGACTTTTAAATACAAAAAAATACCTGGTCAACTAAAAACAGGTGTGTTTTTTTTATACCTTATGAATATGGATAATTTGTCATTAATATTATGTTAATCATTGTTCTAGGTCATTCAGCCTTCATTGGGATTGGGTTTGCAGATCGAGGTGATTCATTTGACTTGAATGTGGCACTTCAAGATCATTTTAAGTAAGTGGATCAAAAAATATTGCGTATTATGTACAATGATGTCCAGTAAAGTATCAACTCTGTTAATGGCACTAGAACTGGGCAATTAGTTTAATTTGTTAATTGATTATCCAGTAAAGTATCAACTCTGTTAATGGCACTAGAACTGGGCAATTAGTTTAATTTGTTAATTGATTATCTAGTAAAGTACCAACTCTGTTAGTGGCACTAGAACTGGGCAATTAGTTTAATTTGTTAATTGATTATCCAGTAAAGTATCAACTCTGTTAGTGGCACTAGAACTGGGCAATTAGTGTAATTTGTTAATTGATTAATTTTCTGGATCATTTCTCTGTTACATTCAACTGAATGATCATCCTCATGAGATGGTTAAAAAAACACTTATAATGCTAAAGGTTGGGTTTTGGTTCCTGTGGAAGGCAGAACACAGATAGCCCGTTGTGTAGCTTAATTAATAAACTTAATTACAGTATTTTGGTTACTGGGATAGTTCAAATAATTGAAATAATAATGAAAAATCATACTGGTAATATTACGAGTATTGGAAACACTGTTTGATTATTTTCATGCCTTTAATCATCTTAGTTGTCATTTTAATTATTTCACATGATGATAAATGACTCTTATAGGTAATTAAGTTAAACACCCATCTCTAAATGGCATTAGATCATGCACAATTAAACGTGTCACATCTTAATATCTGATGTTACATGAGATTTTATGCTTTATAAGGCTAGTCCTTGCTACACATATAAATTTGTCGTGGGAGTTTTCAGTCAGCTTCGGTAAAGTTGTCAGTTCTGTTTTATTAGAAATTAGTGTATCCAATTGGACATACAAGTAATATTAGTTAAGTGAATCAACAATTCTCATTTATTACGTTGACATTGAAAAGCTGATTCTTCATGATATCTGTAAATAATGGCTCATTTTTTAGAAATAATATTCGTATTAACTCCCCATATTCGATCTTGGTCATTTTTACAGACCATGTAACGTACTGTAAATCTGAACGTACTAAATGTATCTTCATGAAATTTGGCAAATTTTAATAAACATTATAAGTTTGTTGTGCACAAAAAATTTGATTTCTTAATAAATTGTTTATACCAAAGATTTCTCTGAATTTCTAAAATATTTACTGAGTCGGAGTGAAAGATGTTTTTAATATTAACAATAAAGATACTTCTTTCTATCTTACAGCTTCATATTTAATTTGCATAATTTGTAGAACCTCTTAAATGAAAGTGAAAAAAACATTTTTTTTCTTTTCGGTGAAACTTTGTATTTCATCTGTTGTTTTCTCCACCCTAACTGTAGTGAAATCAACAATGTAGGATAAAATGAAAAGATGAAAAATACAAAATAAATCTCA